GCCCTAGTACATGGTAGAATACACTAGTCTCAGCCCTAGTACATGGTAGAATACACTAGTCTCAGCCCTAGTACATGGTAGAATACACTAGTCTCAGCCCTAGTACATGGTAGAATACACTAGTCTCAGCCCTAGTACATGGTAGAATACACTAGTCTCAGCCCTAGTACATGGTAGAATACACTAGTCTCAGCCCTAGTACATGGTAGAATACACTAGTCTCAGCCCTAGTACATGGTAGAATACACTAGTCTCAGCCCTAGTACATGGTAGAATACACTAGTCTCAGCCCTAGTACATGGTAGAATACACTAGTCTCAGCCCTAGTACATGGTAGAATACACTAGTCTCAGCCCTAGTACATGGTAGAATACACTAGTCTCAGCCCTAGTACATGGTAGAATACACTAGTCTCAGCCCTAGTACATGGTAGAATACACTAGTCTCAGCCCTAGTACATGGTAGAATACACTAGTCTCAGCCCTAGTACATGGTAGAATACACTAGTCTCAGCCCTAGTACATGGTAGAATACACTAGTCTCAGCCCTAGTACATGGTAGAATACACTAGTCTCAGCCCTAGTACATGGTAGAATACACTAGTCTCAGCCCTAGTACATGGTAGAATACACTAGTCTCAGCCCTAGTACATGGTAGAATACACTAGTCTCAGCCCTAGTACATGGTAGAATACACTAGTCTCAGCCCTAGTACATGGTAGAATACACTAGTCTCAGCCCTAGTACATGGTAGAATACACTAGTCTCAGCCCTAGTACATGGTAGAATACACTAGTCTCAGCCCTAGTACATGGTAGAATACACTAGTCTCAGCCCTAGTACATGGTAGAATACACTAGTCTCAGCCCTAGTACATGGTAGAATACACTAGTCTCAGCCCTAGTACATGGTAGAATACACTAGTCTCAGCCCTAGTACATGGTAGAATACACTAGTCTCAGCCCTAGTACATGGTAGAATACACTAGTCTCAGCCCTAGTACATGGTAGAATACACTAGTCTCAGCCCTAGTACATGGTAGAATACACTAGTCTCAGCCCTAGTACATGGTAGAATACACTAGTCTCAGCCCTAGTACATGGTAGAATACACTAGTCTCAGCCCTAGTACATGGTAGAATACACTAGTCTCAGCCCTAGTACATGGTAGAATACACTAGTCTCAGCCCTAGTACATGGTAGAATACACTAGTCTCAGCCCTAGTACATGGTAGAATACACTAGTCTCAGCCCTAGTACATGGTAGAATACACTAGTCTCAGCCCTAGTACATGGTAGAATACACTAGTCTCAGCCCTAGTACATGGTAGAATACACTAGTCTCAGCCCTAGTACATGGTAGAATACACTAGTCTCAGCCCTAGTACATGGTAGAATACACTAGTCTCAGCCCTAGTACATGGTAGAATACACTAGTCTCAGCCCTAGTACATGGTAGAATACACTAGTCTCAGCCCTAGTACATGGTAGAATACACTAGTCTCAGCCCTAGTACATGGTAGAATACACTAGTCTCAGCCCTAGTACATGGTAGAATACACTAGTCTCAGCCCTAGTACATGGTAGAATACACTAGTCTCAGCCCTAGTACATGGTAGAATACACTAGTCTCAGCCCTAGTACATGGTAGAATACACTAGTCTCAGCCCTAGTACATGGTAGAATACACTAGTCTCAGCCCTAGTACATGGTAGAATACACTAGTCTCAGCCCTAGTACATGGTAGAATACACTAGTCTCAGCCCTAGTACATGGTAGAATACACTAGTCTCAGCCCTAGTACATGGTAGAATACACTAGTCTCAGCCCTAGTACATGGTAGAATACACTAGTCTCAGCCCTAGTACATGGTAGAATACACTAGTCTCAGCCCTAGTACATGGTAGAATACACTAGTCTCAGCCCTAGTACATGGTAGAATACACTAGTCTCAGCCCTAGTACATGGTAGAATACACTAGTCTCAGCCCTAGTACATGGTAGAATACACTAGTCTCAGCCCTAGTACATGGTAGAATACACTAGTCTCAGCCCTAGTACATGGTAGAATACACTAGTCTCAGCCCTAGTACATGGTAGAATACACTAGTCTCAGCCCTAGTACATGGTAGAATACACTAGTCTCAGCCCTAGTACATGGTAGAATACACTAGTCTCAGCCCTAGTACATGGTAGAATACACTAGTCTCAGCCCTAGTACATGGTAGAATACACTAGTCTCAGCCCTAGTACATGGTAGAATACACTAGTCTCAGCCCTAGTACATGGTAGAATACACTAGTCTCAGCCCTAGTACATGGTAGAATACACTAGTCTCAGCCCTAGTACATGGTAGAATACACTAGTCTCAGCCCTAGTACATGGTAGAATACACTAGTCTCAGCCCTAGTACATGGTAGAATACGGTAGTCTCAGCCCTAGTACATGGTAGAATACGGTAGTCTCAGCCCTAGTACATGGTAGAATACACTAGTCTCAGCCCTAGTACATGGTAGAATACACTAGTCTCAGCCCTAGTACATGGTAGAATACACTAGTCTCAGCCCTAGTACATGGTAGAATACACTAGTCTCAGCCCTAGTACATGGTAGAATACACTAGTCTCAGCCCTAGTACATGGTAGAATACACTAGTCTCAGCCCTAGTACATGGTAGAATACACTAGTCTCAGCCCTAGTACATGGTAGAATACACTAGTCTCAGCCCTAGTACATGGTAGAATACACTAGTCTCAGCCCTAGTACATGGTAGAATACACTAGTCTCAGCCCTAGTACATGGTAGAATACACTAGTCTCAGCCCTAGTACATGGTAGAATACACACGTCTCAGCCCTAGTACATGGTAGAATACACTAGTCTCAGCCCTAGTACATGGTAGAATACACTAGTCTCAGCCCTAGTACATGGTAGAATACACTAGTCTCAGCCCTAGTACATGGTAGAATACACTAGTCTCAGCCCTAGTACATGGTAGAATACACTAGTCTCAGCCCTAGTACATGGTAGAATACACTAGTCTCAGCCCTAGTACATGGTAGAATACACTAGTCTCAGCCCTAGTACATGGTAGAATACACTAGTCTCAGCCCTAGTACATGGTAGAATACACTAGTCTCAGCCCTAGTACATGGTAGAATACACTAGTCTCAGCCCTAGTACATGGTAGAATACACTAGTCTCAGCCCTAGTACATGGTAGAATACTAAAAATCGTATTGATAAAGGTGCTAAAATCAACATTGTCAAGCCTGCAGCTCTTAGAGATATTTGAAGTAAGCAGTCTGTCACAGTAAGAAAATCAGCCGTACCTTTTCTGAAGGATATATCAGGTTATCTTGAGGTTATCTTGAGATGATTTCGGGGCTTTAGTGTCCCCGCGGCCCGGTCCTCGACCAGGCCTCCACCCCCAGGAAGCAGCCCGTGACAGCTGACTAACTCCCAGGTACCTATTTACTGCTAGGTAACAGGGGCATTCAGGGTGAAAGAAACTTTGCCCATTTGTTTCTGCCTCGTGCGGGAATCGAACCCGCGCCACAGAATTACGAGTCCTGCGCGCTATCCACCAGGCTACGAGCAGGAAAGACTCCTCACGCTGTTCCTTATGGTACATATAAGATCCTTCCTAATGAACTGATCAATGTAACCTCTGATCCTGTGTATAACATAGATGATTTTGTTCAAGCGCAGACAAATGCAACTAGTTTTTAGGAAAATACGAGAACACTTGTCCAAGACAACAGCAGAGTTCACCCGAGCAAGGAATGCTCAAGCTACGCCCAGTAAGATAACTGTTGGATCTGTAGTAATGGTACTTAACCAACACAGGTCTGGTCCTATGTACAAGTTAACTAAGAAATTTGCAGGTCCTTATTAATACAGCTTAGCAATAGGTAACATGTACAAAGTTAAGAATTTATTAACAGGAGAGTTTATAAACGAACATTTTGATCACTTGAAGCTAGCTAAAATTACTGCTGATGAGATTGATGCAGAAGATGTCAATGAACTTACCCAGTGGGATTCTTCTAGTGGGACACCACCTACTGTAGTTGACAGACCACTTGGTGTTGAGTTACTTCGTGCTGGTACTTATAGTCTTAGATCTAGACCTTTAGTTTCAACTATACACTCACCAAAAGCCCATTGGCTAGATGCTAAAGAGATTGATAATTTATTTCACACCGGGTCACATGCAGTTTCATCTGTTCCTGATCTCCAGTCAGAGCCAGAGTAGTATAGTGCTATAGTGTTATAGTGCTATATAGATATTCGCAAAATCTATAGTTAAGTGCATCCTGCAGTTATTGTGGTAACTACCCCATGTATCTCATTATCACTGAATAATGTATTGTATACTGTATTCTTCTTTCAACTAAGTTTTGTGTTCTTATTCAGGTGCATTGAGAAGCTTATAGTGTCATTTGTATTTTTACAGTGCATGTCTTCAAGAATTATTGTTCTAGCAACCACATTGAGGCCAGTGATTCCGTACTGCTATCACTAAGATGTTAGCCTTCTCGGCCCAGTTTTTGTATATCGCTTGCAAATATTGTACATAATTTGTTTTATCTTGTTATCTAATTATAAGATTCACTGTGGTTGTTAAGTCATAATTCTTGTTCCAATTATGCAGATAATTGTCTCTATTATTTTCCAAGTACATGCCATTAATACACGATGTTAATAATTTTGTTTAGACAATACTGTACTTGAGTTGTATTGTTTATACCTAAAGCTTAGACATGCTCACGTCCTTCATGCTCTTGTTCCAGTTGATGCATTGTTACCATGATATTTTCACTGAATCACTTATGATCTAATTTTTGTGTTCATGCTAAGCGATATTATATACACCTGATCCAATCGTTTATGTTTATTCTGAGACTAAGCATGTAAGCCATTATTTTTGCCACCAAGGGTCCTTCATTATCATTGTAACTAGCTAGCCAGAGATTGTCGACAAGGGACGTCGACTTGGTAGCATGTACGAGCGATGTTATCCTTTAAATTCTATGTCGGTTGGTGTTCAGCCAATCCGCTGGCAACTGAGCCTCATGACGTCATTCCTCAGAGCAGCGGAGGAGCCGTTTTCCAGTAAGCCAGTCAGTACCTGACAGACCTAGCTCAGAGCAGGACCTCAGGACCCGGGTGTGCTGGATTACCACAACTAATGAAGTCAAGATGTACAGTCTGTGTATCTCTCCAAACCCAAGCAAGATCCAACAGAAGGAATACTAAATGAAGAACACAACAGGACGCAACAGATACAGCAGCCATAAAATAACAGCAGCCATAAGATACAGAAGTTAGAAGATACAGCAGCCATAAAATACAGCAGCCATAAGATACAGCAGCCATAAGATACAGAAGTTATAAGATACAGCAGCCATAAAATACAGCAGCCATAAGATACAGCAGCCATAAGATACAGAAGTTATAAGATACAGCAGCCATAAAATACAGCAGCCATAAGATACAGCAGCCATAAGATACAGCAGTTATAAGATACAGCAGCCATAAGATACAGCAGCCATAAAATAATGCAGCCATAAAATACAGAAGTTATAAGATTCATCAACCACAAGATACAGCAGCCATAAGATACAGCAGTCATAAGATACAGCAACAATAAGATGCAGCAGCCATAGGATTCATCAACCACAAGATACAATAGCCATAAGATACAGCAGCCATAAGACACAGCAGCCATAAGACACAGCAGCCATAAGATGATGCAGACATAAGATACAGCAGCCATGAGATACCGCAGTCATAAGATAAAGCAGCCATAAGATACAGCAGCCATAAGATACAGCAGTCATTAGATACAGCAGCCATAAGATAAAGTAGCCATAAGATAAAGCAGCCATAAGATACTACCGTGAATGTAACATATCATTCATCCTGGCCACTAGGAGCCTCAAACACTCGACCTCTAGCATGGGAGACAGTCGCTCTATCAACTACACTACTGGACTATCCTAGTGTCAAAGGTGAATTAAATGTTACACCCCAGGTAAACTGTTTACATGACTCAGGGCGTGGGCCCCCTAATTCTCCTGTGCTCGAGTGGTAGCCTGGGGAGGAATATTTTCAATAGGTAGCAGTTATCATAAGGTCCTTCACATATAAATCTATCTATAAATATCTTGTGTCAACACAAGGCTCTTTCCTGGGACCTCTGTTATTTATAATGTATATATATGATTTAGATTCAGGTTTGAGCAGCAATATTTGCAAATATACCGATGATACAAGAGTCGGGAGGGAAATAAACACGTAAAAAGACTCTCAATCACTTCAAGACGATCTAAATAGGGTTTTGAAATGGTCAAAAGATTGGCATATGCAGTTTAATGCTATCAAATGTAAGGTTTTGAAACTAGGTAATGATGACAGAATTAATACATACGAGCTAGATGGTGTTTAGATTGCAAAAGGGATCTGGGAGCTATGATTAGTAAGAATTTAAAACCAAAATATCAATGCATAAAAGTTCGTAATAAGGCAAATACGACACTGGGATTTATTAATTGAAGCATTAGTAACAAGACTCCTGGTGTTGTTCTTCAGATATATCTTGCTCTGGTTAGGCTCCATTTAGATTATGCAGTTCAGTTTTGGTCGCCGTACTGTCGAATGTCGAATGGATATACATTTATTAGAACGCATCCAGCGTAGGATGATAAAATTAATCCCGTTAATTAGAAACCTGTCATATGAAGAAAGTTTGACAAAGCTTAAATGCCTTTTCCTAGAAAGGCGAAGAATTAGGGATGACATAATAGAGGTATACAAGTGGATGAATGGGCATAACAAAGGGAATAATAATTCGTTATTAAGTATATCAATGCATAATAGAACACGAAACAATGGATTTAAATTGGATAAGTTTAGATTTAGGAAAGACCTGGGTAAATACTGGTTTGGTAACAGGGATGTCAATTTGTGGAATCAATTACTATGTAACATAATAGACTTAGGATCCCTTGACTGTTTCAAGCGTAGGTTAGACATATATATGAATGAGTTCGGGTGGATATAAATAGAAGCTGCCTCGTAGGGGCCAAAAATGTTCTGTAGTTTCCTTGATTCTGATGTTCTTATGTTTGCCAGCGGGCTGTGGTCAGAACAACATCGTGGTCCCGACCTCCAGGATCGTGAACGGGTCGGACGCCTCGCCCGGGGAGTTTCCATACCAGGTGTACCTGACTCCCACCATTGCTGGACTAGATTATACGTGTGGCGGGTCTATCATAAAGAAAAGGTGGATTCTAACTGCTGCTCACTGCTTCTTTGACAAGAACGGGTGAGATGGTCATCACTTTACTGTGCTCTGAACATTTGCTTGCGCCTCACCAGGTATTACCTGGTGATACACCTTCAAACCGCAGGAAGTGATGCACTTAATAGTGATATATTTTAAATATAATACAGGTTCATAGCGAGTATTCCCTTGGATATTCTCACTACAGTATCACTTATCAGCTATCAAATTGACCCCAACCCTAATGTTTTGAGGTGTCTTGCACAATTATCACAATATTTATCACTGTACTCGACTGACTGTGATGTTCTGTCTTCCTGCAGTGTCAAAGCTTCAGGCGTTAGTGTGGGTGTCGGGTCTATTTCCTCCAACAACATCACCCAGGTCTCCACTTCACGCTTCATAACCCACCAGAACTACAACAGCACAACTAATGTATGAATTGTTTATTTTTATTTGTTACTAGCTGTACCCGGCCGTTGCTGTGGCTCAGCAACCCGTCTCCGCTCCCCTCGTCCTCCCCACCATCCCCCACTTCCCTGCCCCCTCGTCCTCCCCACCATCCCCCACTCCACTGTCCCCTTGTCCTCCACACATTTTCCAGTCTCCCGTCCCTTCGTTCTCCTCACCATGCCACACTCCCCGTCCCCTCGTCTTCTCTACCATTACCCCCCTACCTTTCCCGTCCTCTCGTCCTCCCCCATCCCCCCACATCCCTGTTCCCTTGACTTCCCCACCATTCTCCACTCCCACTCCCCTCGTCCTTCCCGCCATTTCCGACTCCCTCGTCCAATGTGTTCCCAAATGATCTGATTTTCTCATCACTGAAAAATAAGTAGAACAGTTAAAATAAATAAAAAAATAAAAAATAAACTATACTCAGGAAATGAACAGTATGGTAAACAACAAAGCTCAATTCCAGTGCAATGTCACACAAAATATGTAAATCAAAATGAAAATAAATCGAAATCAATAAAAATTAAATTTATCAATGCAATTGGAAACATTGAAATTTGAATTGTAACATATTTAGTATAGTGTGTGTTGCTATTACGTGCAACATATGGCGCTGTTTAAAAAAAAAAAAACATGTTTTTACCGGTCACAGGAGTGGTATCTATATAATAGATATATAAAAACATGCGTGTATTTGAATGGAACGTTGTGTCAAAATTTCAAATCAATTGGTGAAGAACTTTTGGAGATTACAGCATGTGTTGCTCTTAAGTCCAACAGATGGTGCTGTTTAAAATAAAAAACATGTTTTTTCCTGTCACAGATGAGGCATGTATATAGTAGATATATAAAAACACATGCCTATTCAAATGCAATTTTGTGTCAAAATTTCCAAGCAACAGGTAAAGAGGTTTCGAAGATTACCTTCACGTAAAAAAACACATGAAAAACACAGTTTTTCAAAATAGCAGGTTTTTCCCATCACAGGAATAACATCTATATAATATGTATATAAAAATCCACTCAAATCCGAATGATACGTTGTGTCAAAATTTCAAAGCAATCGGTGAAGAGTTTTTGGAAATTAGCGATTTTGAACAAACGAACATATACATTTTTATTTATATAAATGACAGCCTTGTGATAATGCAGAACCTGGACACCTTTATCCACAAACAAAAATTTCTCCCAAACATAATGTTACGGGAAATGAACATAAGAATCAAGGTAACTGCAGAAGGCCTATTGGCCCATTTGAGGCAGTTCTTTTTTATGTCCATCCAATCTCTAGCCTACACTTGAAACAGTAAAGTTATCCTACTTCTATTATCTATCCCTAGGATCCTTTATCCATAAGAACTTAGTGTAATTTCGGTCCTCTTCTTAGAGGACTACCCTAAGGAATGCCTTACTTATATCGGCTGTGTATGCATAAGTCCCTACGTGGAACTTTAACAGTGCAATTATATATAATATAATGTTAAGGAAGAGCTGTGGCCAGGTGGTGGGGATCGTCGACACTGGTTCGCAGTCACCAGTTCGAAGCCTCTGTTGATTCTTCTTCCATTTCTAACTTTGTAAAGGGAGCCGGTTGGCCAAGCGGACCGCACACTGGACTTGTGATCCTGTGGTCCTGGGTTCGATCCCAGGCGCCGGCGAGAAACAATGGGCAGAGTTTCTTTCACCCTATGCCCCTGTTACCTAGCAGTAAAATAAGTACCTGGGTGTTAGTCAGCTGTCACGTGCTGCTTCCTGGGGGGTGGAGGCCTGGTTGAGGACCGGGCCGTGGGGACACTAAAAAGCCCCGAAATCATCTCAAGATAACCTCAAGAAGATACGCCCTTTGTGTCAGGCTAGGGCCAGTTTGAAGGAAGTCATTCAAGGAGACTCTATTCTGTTTGGTCTTGTCACTGCAGTTAAATACTATCCTCAGTGGGGTAGTGTCTGATTTTTTCATTACTGCATGGTGCGGCAAATAGTGTCCTTCCTTAGGGTCATCATTGGTTACAATTTTGATGAATTTGTTATCGAGTATTTGTTGTATTATGTCATGGTACAATTTTAGGATCTCAGTTTGTCTACTTAAGTGCAACACCTGAGACTTTAATTGGTTTTGTACTATAAAATGATATACTAGCAGTTGAGAATGATTCAGCTTCCATGGTAACCTTACCCAGTATTGGCTGTCCCTGTGGACAACTGAGTCCAGTTATTATTTGTATTTCCAGTCATCATCTGGACTAGGTTATTCAGGGACGATGTTTCTTGGTGGCTATATCCCATAATTTATGTTCAGGGGGATCAAACTCATTTTCATACATGTCTCTGAACTTAAGTGGTGACTGTTCTCCGCCCAGTCAAGCAACCATCACTGGGATGACATGTTGGTTGTCTACTGGTGTGGGTTGCTTCAGACTCAATACTGGGCCAGTGAGAAAATTGCCTCCTGCAGACAATAACAGGTTCATTCTCTGCCTTTTAATTTGTCCAGTGATGAATTTATGGTAATAATCTGCACCTACAAGGAATCCAATGATTGAGAGGTGGTAGGAATTTGGCTGTTGTCCAAGACCATGAACATATAGGACAGATAGTATTTTGTCTACTAAAATGGCCTGTACAAGTCTGGCATAACCGCCTAAACTTATTAATGGTTGGACCACTTTGTAAATTTAGGAACTGTGTTGGTCAGGAACCCTGTTATATTTAGTTTTACCTGTGCAACAGGTTTTAATTTTAAGTTATCTGGCACTTCTTGGGTGACAAATGTTTTTTGGGAGCCATGGTCAAATAACTCGTGGGTGTTGTTCTTGGCCCTTCTGTTTTTTATGGTAAGTTGGGCACTTGGCAAAGTCGCATTATCCTTAGACTTTGTCAATAGGATACTTGCATCCTGTCGTACTTTGCAGTACTGGACAGTGGTGGAAGTCTCTTCTTCTACCTTGTCATGCGGGGACTTTCATTTTATGTCCCCCACACAGTACTGACTGGTGCTGCCCATTATTGCACCTGTTGCAGGTGCACAGTTGGGCTGTACAGGTATTGGTGTTATGTGACCTGAGGCACCTGGTGCATTTATGCAACTCATCGAGTCGATGTACACGTGTAGTACGATCAGGGTAATTAGTGCAGTGGGGTATGGAATGTTCTTCATTACAGAACAAACACGTCATCCAGCCTCCGGCACCTCTGGGAGTCACTGCCTTTGGTGACACAGTGACTGTAGGGTTTGAGGGACCCACTGCATATGTGCCCACACTCATATTTCCACTTTGGAGAGGAGGTAGATTGTTCAGTACTTGAAGTACACTTTGATTGCTTGTTATGGGTGGTTAATGAAGGTTTGGTTGTTGGTTTACCATCTGTATTTGCTCACTGTCATTTTACAACAGAGAGTAAACCTTCTGCAATCTCCTGAACTGTCAGGGAAGATTTGTTATACAGGGAACAAAACTTATCCAGAGTTTCAATGGGTGATTTGCATTGTATGATAACGTTAGTTAACCAATCAGCACTATTATAATCACCCTTAAGGCTGAGTGCTTTAAGTAATGACTCAAGCTCCAATCTGAAGGCTTGCAGTGAGTCACTGGTTTCACTAGTTGACAGTAAGTCCAACAATTTTGTAACTAAATGTGAGACAGCTCTACTCTAATTATGCTCTGTTAGCATAATTATCCTTAAGGCGCTGAACTGCACGATCATAACCATCAACCTGTTCCACGATCCTCGTGGAACAGGTTGAGTGCGAGTATACTGCCTGGGAACAATCCTCGTGGAACAGGTTGAGTGCGAGTATACTGCCTGGGAACAATCTTCGTGGAACAGGAACCACATTATCACTGGTAATGAACATCCAAGTAACGAAAACAATATTATTAGTCAGGATAATGAGAAAATCAGCCTGAGCTCTGCTGGGGACTCGAACCCGTGACCAAGGGGCTGCCAGCCACAACATCTGCTACTGTTGGTATTTGCTTTTGCCACTGCAATGTTGGTCGCGGGTTCGAGTCCCCCTCAGAGATCCAGCTGATCTTCTGATTGCTATATATCACGTTAGTAAGATTTCTCGGTGTAAGTAACGATAACCTGCTGCATGGGTTATCTTGAGATGATTTCGGGGCTTTAGTGTCCCCGCGGCCCGGTCCTCGACCAGTCCTCCACCCCCAGGAAGCAGCCCGTGACAGCTGACTAACACCCAGGTACCTATTTTACTGCTAGGTAACAGGGGCATTCAGGGTGAAAGAAACTTTGCCCATTTGTTTCTGCCTCGTGCGGGAATCGAACCCGCGCCACAGAATTACGAGTCCTGCGCGCTATCCACACCAGGCTACGAGGCCCCATTAAGGGTAACAGCTTCTTCTCCATATCGACCTTCCCAGGCTTTGCACCCTGGAGAGGCCACTCCAGCCTCGACAACCAGAGCCCAACTCCATAGTCTCCCGAAACTACAGAATGACAACTACTATATTAAAGTTATATCACACAGACTCTTTCCTTAAGGCAAACGACATCGCCCTGGTGGAGCTGGCTGCGGACCTGCCCTTCGACACCAACCCCAACGTGCAGCCCATCTGTCTGGGGCAGGAGAGTGACATACCCTACGGGGGCAGGGTTGTCGCTACAGGCTGGGGTAGACTGGCTTCTGGTACGTGTATGGTGATAACTCTCAGTACTCACCTAGTTGTGCTTGCGGGGGTTGAGCTTTGGCTCTTTGGTCCCGCATATCAGCTGGCAATCAACTGGTGTACAGGTTCCTGAGCCTACTGGGCTCTATCATATCTACACTTGAAACTGTGTATGGAGTCAGCCTCCACCACATCACTGCCTAATGCATTCCATCTGTTAACTAATCTGACACTGACAAAATTCTTTCTAATATCTCTGAGGCTCATCTGGGTACTAAGTTTCCACCTGTATTTACCTAGATGTATTCACCTAGATGTGCTTATGGGGGTTGGGGTCTGCTCTTTCAGCCCGCCTCTTAACTGTCAATCAATCTACAGATACTAACTACCATTTTTTTTCCAAACCCACACACGCCCACAAGAAGCAGCCCGTAAGAGCTGTCTAACTCCCAGATACCTATTTACTGCTAGGTAACAGGCGCATCAGGATGAAAGAAACTGCCCATTTGTTTCTGCCGGCCCAGGGAATCGAACCCTGGTCCATATGACTACATATAAAGCGTGCTGTCCACTCAGCCACCAGCCCCTGTGTCCCCTTCTTCGTGTTCACCCGTGCTAAAGAGTTTGTTTTTGTCCACCCTGTCAATTCCAGTGAGAATTTTGTAGGTGGTTATCATGTCTTCCCTTACTCTTCTGTCTTCCAGGGACGTGAGGTTTAGCTCCTTTAGCCTTTCCTCGTGCTAATTGGTACTCAGGTGCTCAGGTACCTAAGTACCTGAGTATAGGTCCTCAGGTCCTCAGGTACCTGAGTATGGGTCCTCAGGTACCTGAGTATGGGTCCTCAGGTACCTGAGTATAGGTCCTCAGGTACTCAGGTATCTGAGTATAGGTACTCAGGTACTCAGGTACCTGAGTATAGGTCCTCAGGTACTCAGGTATCTGAGTATAGATACTCAGGTACTCAGGTACCTGAGTATAGGTCCTCAGGTACTCAGGTATCTGACTCAGGTAATCAGATAGGCACACAACTAAGTATCAAGCTATACACTTGGGATGTGAGGTTTAGCTCCTTTATCCTTTCCTCGTAGCTCATACCTCTCAGTTCCGGGGGACGAGTCTGGTGGCATACCTCTGAATGGTGACATTGTGACAGTTCGCTTCTAATGCTAATGTGTAGTGCCTGGTGCTCCCGGGCTGGTGTAGTGCCTGGTGCTCCCAGGCTGGTGTAGTGCCTGGTGCTCCCTGGCTGGTGTGGTGCCTAGTGCTCCCTGGCTGGTGTGGTGCCTGGTGCTCCCTGGCTGGTGTAGTGCCTGGTGCTCCCAGGCTGGTGTTGTGCCTGGTGCTCCCGGGCTGGTGTTGTGCCTGGTGCTCCCAGGCTGGTGTTGTGCCTGGTGCTCCCAGACTGGTGTTGTGCCTGGTGCTCCCAGACTGGTGTTGTGCCTGGTGCTCCCAGACTGGTGTTGTGCCTGGTGCTCCCAGACTGGTGTTGTGCCTGGTGCTCCCAGGCTGGTGTTGTGCCTGGTGCTCCCAGACTGGTGTTGTGCCTGGTGCTCCCAGGCTGGTGTTGTGCCTGGTGCTCCCAGACTGGTGTTGTGCCTGGTGCTCCCAGACTGGTGTTGTGCCTGGTGCTCCCAGACTGGTGTTGTGCCTGGTGCTCCCAGACTGGTGTTGTGCCTGGTACTCCCGGGCTGGTGTTGTGCCTGGTGCTCCCAGACTGGTGTTGTGCCTGGTGCTCCCAGGCCGGTGTTGTGCCTGGTGCTCCCGGGCTGGTGTGGTGCCTGGTGCTCCCGGGCTGGTGTTGTGCCTGGTGCTCCCAGGCTGGTGATGTGCCTGGTGCTCCCAGACTGGTGTTGTGCCTGGTACTCCCAGGCTGGTGTGGTGCCTGGTGCTCCCAGACTGGTGTGGTGCCTGGTGCTCCCAGGCTGGTGTTGTGCCTGGTGCTCCCGGGCTGGTGTTGTGCCTGGTGCTCCCAGGCTGGTGTGGTGCCTGGTGCTCCCGGGCTGGTGTGGTGCCCGGTGCTCCCGGGCTGATGTGGTGCCTGGTGCTCCAAAGCTGGTGTGGTGCCTGGTGCTCCCGGACTGGTGTTGTGCCTGGTGCTCCCAGGCTGGTGTTGTGCCTGGTGCTCCCGGACTGGTGTTGTGCCTGGTGCTCCCGGACTGGTGTTGTGCCTGGTGCTCCCAGGCTGGTGTGGTGCCTGGTGCTCCCAGACTGGTGTAGTGCCTGGTGCTCCCAGGCTGGTGTAGTGCCTGGTGCTCCCAGACTGGTGTTGTGCCTGGTGCTCCCAGGCTGGTGTTGTGCCTGGTGCTCCCTGGCTGGTGTAGTGCCTGGTGCTCCCAGACTGGTGTTGTGCCTGGTGCTCCCAGGCTGGTGTAGTGCCTGGTGCTCCCGGGCTGGTGTTGTGCCTGGTGCTCCCAGGCTGGTGTTGTGCCTGGTGCTCCCTGGCTGGTGTAGTGCCTGGTGCTCCCAGACTGGTGTTGTGCCTGGTGCTCCCAGGCTGGTGTTGTGCCTGGTGCTCCCAGACTGGTGTTGTGTGTGGTGCTCCCGGGCTGGTGTGGTGCCTGGTGCTCCCGGGCTGGTGTGGTGCCTGGTGCTCCCGGGCTGGTGTTGTGCCTGGTGCTCCCGGGCTAGTGTGGTGCCTGGTGCTCCCTGGCTGGTGTGGTGCCTGGTGCTCCCGGGCTGGTGTTGTGCCTGGTGCTCCCGGGCTGGTGTAGTGCCTGGTGCTCCCAGGCTGGTGTTGTGCCTGGTGCTCCCGGGCTGGTGTGGTGCCTGGTGCTCCCGGACTGGTGTTGTGCCTGGTGCTCCCAGGCTGGTGTTGTGCCTGGTGCTCCCGGGCTGGTGTTGTGCCTGGTGCTCCCAGGCTGGTGTTGTGCCTGGTGCTCCCGGGCTAGTGTGGTGCCTGGTGCTCCCAGGCTGGTGTTGTGCCTGGTGCTCCCGGGCTGGTGTAGTGCCTGGTGCTCCCAGGCTGGTGTTGTGCCTGGTGCTCCCGGGCTGGTGTGGTGCCTGGTGCTCCCGGACTGGTGTTGTGCCTGGTGCTCCCAGGCTGGTGTTGTGCCTGGTGCTCCCGGGCTGGTGTTGTGCCTGGTGCTCCCAGGCTGGTGTTGTGCCTGGTGCTCCCGGGCTAGTGTGGTGCCTGGTGCTCCCAGGCTGGTGTGGTGCCTGGTGCTCTCGGGCTGGTGTGGTGCCTGGTGCTCCCGGGCTGGTGTGGTGCCTGGTGCTCCCAGGCTGGTGTTGTGCCTGGTGCTCCCAGGCTGGTGTTGTGCCTGGTGCTCCCGGGCTGGTGATGTGCCTGGTGCTCCCAGGCTGGTGTTGTGCCTGGTGCTCCCGGGCTTGTGTGGTGCCTGGTGCTCCCAGACTGGTGTGGTGCCGGGTGCTCCCAGATTGGTGTGGTGCCTAGTGCTCCCAGGCTGGTGTTGTGCCTGGTGCTCAAGACTGGTGTGGTGCCTGGTGCTCCCAGATTGGTGTGGTGCCTGGTGCTCCCAGGCTGGTGTGGTGCCTGGTGCTCCCAGACTGGTGTGGTGCCTGGTGCTCCCGGACTGGTGTTGTGCCTGGTGCTCCCAGGCTGGTGTAGTGCCTGGTGCTCCCAGACTGGTGTTGTGCCTGGTGCTCCCAGGCTGGTGTAGTGCCTGGTGCTCCCAGGCTGGTGTTGTGCCTGGTGCTCCCGGGCTAGTGTGTTGCCTGGTGCTCCCGGGCTGGTGTGGTGCCTGGTGCTCCCAGGCTGGTGTTGTGCCTGGTGCTCCCGGGCTAGTGTGTTGCCTGGTGCTCCCGGGCTGGTGTGGTGCCTGGTGCTCCCAGGCTGGTGTAGTGCCTGGTGCTCCCAGGCTGGTGTTGTGCCTGGTGCTCCCGGGCTGGTGTGGTGCCTGGTGCTCCTAGGCTGGTGTAGTGCCTGGTGCTCCCAGGCTGGTGTGGTGCCTGGTGCTCCCAGACTGGTGTAGTGCCTGGTGCTCCCGGGCTGGTGTTGTGCCTGGTGCTCCCGGGCTGGGGTTGTGCCTGGTGCTCCCGGGCTGGTGTGGTGCCTGGTGCTCCCAGACTGGTGTAGTGCCTGGTGCTCCCAGGCTGGTGTTGTGCCTGGTGCTCCCAGGCTGGTGTTGTGCCTGGTGCTCCCGGGCTGGTGTGGTGCCTGGTGCTCCCGGGCTGGTGTGGTGCCTGGTGCTCCCAGGCTGGTGTTGTGCCTGGTGCTCCCGGGCTGGTGTGGTGCCTGGTGCTCCCGGGCTGGTGTGGTGCCTGGTGCTCCCAGGCTGGTGTGGTGCCTGGTGCTCCCGGACTGGTGTTGTGCCTGGTGCTCCCAGGCTGGTGTTGTGCCTGGTGCTCTTGGGCTAGTGTGGTGCCTGGTGCTCCCAGGCTGGTGTGGTGCCTGGTGCTCCCGGGCTGGTGTGGTGCCTGGTGCTCCCGGGCTGGTGTGGTGCCTGGTGCTCCCAGGCTGGTGTGGTGCCTGGTGCTCCCGGGCTGGTGTTGTGCCAGGTGCTCCCGGGCTGGTGTCGTGCCTGGTGCTCCCAGGCTGGTGTGGTGCCTGGTGCTCCCAGACTGGTGTGGTGCCTGGTGCTCCCAGATTGGTGTGGTGCCTGGTGCTCCCAGGCTGGTGTTGTGCCTGGTGCTCAAGACTGGTGTGGTGCCTGGTGCTCCCAGATTGGTGTGGTGCCTGGTGCTCCCAGGCTGGTGTGGTGCCTGGTGCTCCCAGACTGGTGTCGTGCCTGGTGCTCCCAGGCTGGTGTGGTGCCTGGTGCTCCCAGACTGGTGTGGTGCCTGGTGCTCCCAGGCTGGTGTAGTGCCTGGTGCTCCCAGGCTGGTGTTGTGCCTGGTGCTCCCGGACTGGTGTTGTGCCTGGTGCTCCCAGGCTGGTGTAGTGCCTGGTGCTCCCAGACTGGTGTTGTGCCTGGTGCTCCCAGGCTGGTGTAGTGCCTGGTGCTCCCAGGCTGGTGTTGTGCCTGGTGCTCCCGGGCTAGTGTGTTGCCTGGTGCTCCCGGGCTGGTGTGGTGCCTGGTGCTCCCAGGCTGGTGTAGTGCCTGGTGCTCCCAGGCTGGTGTTGTGCCTGGTGCTCTCGGGCTAGTGTGTTGCCTGGTGCTCCAGGGCTGGTGTGGTGCCTGGTGCTCCCAGGCTGGTGTGGTGCCTGGTGCTCCCAGACTGGTGTAGTGCTTGGTGCTCCCGGGCTGGTGTTGTGCCTGGTGCTCCCGGGCTGGTGTTGTGCCTGGTGCTCCCGGGCTGGTGTTGTGCCTGGTGCTCCCGGGCTGGTGTAGTGCCTGGTGCTCCCGGGCTGGTGTTGTGCCTGGTGCTCCCGGGCTGGTGTTGTGCCTGGTGCTCCCAGGCTGGTGTGGTGCCTGGTGCTCCCGGGCTGGTGTTGTGCCTGGTGCTCCCGGGCTGGTGTGGTGCCTGGTGCTCCCGGGCTGGTGTGGTGCCTGGTGCTCCCAGGCTGGTGTTGTGCCTGGTGCTCCCGGGCTGGTGTGGTGCCTGGTGCTCCCGGGCTGGTGTGGTGCCTGGTGCTCCCAGACTGGTGTGGTGCCTGGTGCTCCCGGGCTGGTGTCGTGCCTGGTGCTCCCAGACTGGTGTGGTGCCTGGTGCTCCCGGACTGGTGTTGTGCCTGGTGGTCCTGGGCTGGTGTTGTGCCTGGTGCTCCCAGGCTGGTGTTGTGCCTGGTGCTCCCAGGCTGGTGTTGTGCCTGGTGCTCCCGGGCTGGTGTTGTGCCTGGTGCTCCCAGGCTGGTGTTGTGCCTGGTGCTCCCAGGCTGGTGTTGTGCCTGGTGCTCCCAGGCTGGTGTTGTGCCTGGTGCTCCCAGGCTGGTGTTGTGCCTGGTGCTCCCAGACTGGTGTTGTGCCTGGTGCTCCCAGGCTGGTGTAGTGCCTGGTGCTCCCAGGCTGGTGTTGTGCCTGGTGCTCCCGGGCTGGTGTTGTGCCTGGTGCTCCCGGACTGGTGTTGTGCCTGGTGCTCCCAGACTGGTGTGGTGCCTGGTGCTCCCAGACTGGTGTGGTGCCTGGTGCTCCCAGACTGGTGTTGTGCCTGGTGCTCCCAGGCTGGTGTTGTGCCTGGTGCTCCCAGGCTGGTGTTGTGCCTGGTGCTCCCGGGCTGGTGTTGTGCCTGGTGCTCCCGGGCTGGTGTTGTGCCTGGTGCTCCCGGACTGGTGTTGTGCCTGGTGCTCCCAGACTGGTGTGGTGCCTGGTGCTCCCAGGCTGGTGTGGTGCCTGGTGCTCCCAGACTGGTGTTGTGCCTGGTGCTCCCGGACTGGTGTTGTGCCTGGTGCTCCCGGGCTGGTGTGGTGCCTGGTGCTCCCAGGCTGGTGTGGTGCCTGGTGCTCCCAGACTGGTGTTGTGCCTGGTGCTCCCAGACTGGTGTGGTGCCTGGTGCTTCAGGCACCAGGAAAAACTCGCCATTTCTTCAAGACGATCTAAATAGGGTTTTGAAATGGTCAAAAGATTGGTAGATGCAGTTTAATGCTGAGAAATGTAAAGTTCTGAGGTTAGGTAATGATGATAGAGTTACAAGATACGAGCTAGATGGTGATGAGATTGTGAAAGGGATCTGGGAGTTATGATTAGTAAGAATTTAAAACAAAATGATCAGTGCATAAATGTTCGTAATAAGGCAAATAGGACACTGGGATTTATTAATCGAAGTGTTAGTAACAAGACACCTGGTGTGGTTCTTCAACTATATCTTGCTCTGGTTAGGCTCCATTTAGATTATGCAGTTCAGTTTTGGTCGCCGTACTATAGAATGGATATAAATTAACTTGAACGCATCCAGTGTAGAATGAAGAAGTCAATCCCCCATAAGAAGAACATAAGAATAAAGGTAACTATATAGGGCTTATAAGCCCATACGAGGCAGCTTGTATTTATCACCACCCAATCCCACTCATATACATGTCTAACCCACGTTTAGAACAATCGAGGGACCCCACCTCCACCACGTTACGTGGTAATTGGTTCCACAAATCAACAACCCTGTTACCAAACCAGTATTTACCCAGGTCTTCCCTAAATCTAAACTTATCCAATTAATACCCATTAGTTTGTGTTCTGTCTTGTATTGATACTTTTAATACCCAATTAATATCCTCTTTTTTATGTCCATTTATCCACTTGTTAACCTCTATCACGTTACCCCTAACTCTTCGCCTTTCCAGTGAAGGAAATTTAAGCTTTGTAAATCTTTCAATCTTTCTTTCTACCTTGTGTGCCCTCTTCAAGGGGAGACAAGGTAGATACGATGCTAGAAGACTGTCACTCAGCACAGGCCATCAACCCAGGCCCGACCCAGCCACACACCCTCCACCACCTCGGCTTGTACACCAACTGAAGGCCCAACAATTAACGCGTCCGCTCCCTCTAGTGGCCAGCGGACCAGTCAGAGTCCCAGTGGAGTTTCTTATTGATACATATCTCATGTTAATGTGATTTGTGTGTGTTTCTGAAGTTGGGAGGTGAGGTGTAGGACCACACTGCCCTTCCACCCGAGTAGTTGTGGGTCATACCTTAAACTTGGACTGGCTTCAGTATGAGCCTCCAGACTTCCTTTGATTTCAGTAGAAAACCGATTTTATGACATATCAAGTTAAAGGTGGTCTAGTGGTAGTGTACGGGACTCGTAATGCCGGGGCCATAGGTTCGTGCCCACCTTAGTCCTGGTAGATTTTCTCAATAATAATAATACAAGTAGTAATAATAATAATTATAATAATAATAATTATAATAATTTTATTTAAAGAGAAGTACCAGCATATGATACATGAACAGTGGGGAAAGTGACTGTAAGGAGAGTATAATACTGAAGGCTCTAATACACACACAACTTCAGCCACCCGTCCATTCATTAACCCTTTATTCTTATAGCTTTTACCTGTATATTTCCTCCATAACTTGATACCAACGTTGGTGAGAGAGTGGCCCTCCACCAATGATGGGTCCCGACACATGTTGTATGATTGTAATGACCCAAGAGCTGGAGCGTAAGGCTGACACCATCACTGCCTTTACACAGGACAAGCGACGTTGCCCACCACCCTGCAGGAGGTACAGCTAGACGTTATCACCAGCGGCGTGTGCTCCGGACTCGCCTCCCTCCCTCCGAACCCCGCCCAGGTGCTCTGTACTCTCACCCTCTATAAGGATACGTGTCAGGTCAGCTGCAACACAGTTTTCAAACCACTTTTTATAGTCACAAGTAAACCAAGACTTCAATTAAAGCAACTTTACAGATAAAATTAAATTTACATATTTTATTTTAATTTTATATAATCTCTGAACTCAAAAGTAAAAATTAATAATATGTTAGGAGTATATATATGTTTCCAAATGTGTGCATAATAATATTACACTTTATATACACAGAGAGGAGAGTTAATAACACTCCTCACCTATCATAAAAGTGGGTTCTTGTTTCTTTTAAGTTCGAACATTTCGTATCCAAATTTTGATTTATATTTAAGTGAAGTTTTGAAACGTATCAATTAAATGAGCGCGAGCCGCAGGAAAAAGCATTTCATTAGTTGAACTAAATCTTCATTTCAACACTGAACATTTTGTCAACCCAGTTATACACAACAGTCAAATATGGACACGTTTTATATTCATCATTTGGATCACTGAAGCATGCATTCAGTCGCACACAGTGGAGGAAGGTGCGGGGACACGTTGAGGGAGTGTGTGAGGTCACAGCCATGAGCAGCGAGGGTACATGCGGGGTTATTATGGAAGCTGACAGAGCTCCACCATCTACCAGTTCTTAGGCCGGAACACTGGGAAGTCAAAGTCACATATATAAATGATTCACAGGTCTGTCGCAGGGAGGCAAGATATAATGTTGATATAAGTCCTTATTACTCGGCCCCTTAAGGGAACAATGAAGCAGAAACCTCAGAGGAAGTGAAAGTATATACAACATGCTGGACACTGACCAACAGTAACAACATGCTGGACACTGACCAACATGACCAGCAGTAACAACATGCTGGACACTGACCAACATGACCAGCAGTAACAACATGCTGGACACTGACCAACATGACCAGCAGTAACAACATGCTGGACACTGACCAACATGACCAACAGTAACAACATGCTGGACACTGACCAACATGACCAACAGCAACAACATGCTGGACACTGACCAACAGTAACAACATGCTGGACACTGACCAACATGACCAGCAGTAACAACACACTGGACACTGACCAACATTGACCAGCAGTAACAACATGCTGGACACTGACCAACATGACCAGCAGTAACAACATGCTGGACACTGACCAACATGACCAGCAGTAACAACATGCTGGACACTGACCAGCAGTAACAACATGCTGGACACTGACCAACATGACCAACAGTAACAACATGCTGGACACTGACCAACATGACCAGCAGTAACAACATGCTGGACACTGACCAACATGACCATCAGTAACAACATGCTGGACACTGACCAACATGACCAACAGTAACAACATGCTGGACACTGACCAACATGACCAGCAGTAACAACATGCTGGACACTGACCAACATGACCATCAGTAACAACATGCTGGACACTGACCATCAGTAACAACATGCTGGACACTGACCAACATGACCAACAGTAACAACATGCTGGACACTGACCAACATGACCAGCAGTAACAACATGCTGGACACTGACCAACAGTAACAACATGCTGGACACTGACCAACATGACCATCAGTAACAACATGCTGGACACTGACCAACATGACCAGCAGTAACAACACGCTGGACACTGACCAACATGACCATCAGTAACAACATGCTGGACACTGACCAACATGACCAGCAGTAACAACATGCTGGACACTGACCAACATGACCAACAGTAACAACATGCTGGACACTGACCAACATGACCAGCAGTAACAACATGCTGGACACTGACCATCAGTAACAACATGCTGGACACTGACCAACATGACCAGCAGTAACAACATGCTGGACACTGACCAACATGACCAGCAGTAACAACATGCTGGACACTGACCAACATGACCAGCAGTAACAACATGCTGGACACTGACCAACATGACCAGCAGTAACAACATGCTGGACACTGACCAACATGACCAGCAGTAACAACATGCTGGACACTGACCAACAGTAACAACATGCTGGGCACTGACCAACAGTAACAACATGCTGGACACTGACCAACATGACCAACAGTAACAACATGCTGGACACTGACCAACATGACCATCAGTAACAACATGCTGGACACTGACCAACATGACCAGCAGTAACAACATCCTGGACACTGACCAACATGACCAGCAGTAACAACATGCTGGACACTGACCAACATGACCAGCAGTAACAACATGCTGGACACTGACCAGCAGTAACAACATGCTGGACACTGACCAATATGACCAGCAGCAACAACATGCTGGACACTGACCAACATGACCATCAGTAACAACATGCTGGACACTGACCAACAGTAACAACATGCTGGACACTGACCAACAGTAACAACATGCTGGACACTGACCAACATGACCATCAGTAACAACATGCTGGACACTGACCAACAGTAACAACATGCTGGACACTGACCAACATGACCATCAGTAATAACATGCTGGACACTGACCAACAGTAACAACATGCTGGACACTGACCAACATGACCAACAGTAACAACATGCTGGACACTGACCAACAGTAACAACATGCTGGACACTGACCAACATGACCAGCAGTAACAACATGCTGGACACTGACCAACATGACCAACAGTAACAACATGCTGGACACTGACCAACATGACCAGCAGTAACAACATGCTGGACACTGACCAACATGACCAGCAGTAACAACATGCTGGACACTGACCAACATGACCAGCAGTAACAACATGCTGGACACTGACCAACATGACCAACAGTAACAACATGCTGGACACTGACCAACATGACCATCAGTAACAACATGCTGGACACTGACCAACATGACCATCAGTAAAACATGCTGGACACTGACCAACATGACCAGCAGTAACAACATGCTGGACACTGACCAACATGACCAGCAGTAACAACATGCTGGACACTGACCAACATGACCAGCAGTAACAACATGCTGGACACTGACCAACATGACCAACAGTAACAACATGCTGGACACTGACCAACATGACCATCAGTAACAACATGCTGGACACTGACCAACATGACCATCAGTAACAACATGCTGGACACTGACCAACATGACCAGCAGTAACAACATGCTGGACACTGACCAACATGACCATCAGTAACAACACACTGGACACTGACCAACATGACCAGCAGTAACAACATGCTGGACACTGACCAACATGACCAGCAGTAACAACACACTGGACACTGACCAACATGACCAGCAGTAACAACATACTGGACACTGACCAACATAACCATCAGTAACAACATGCTGGACACTGACCAACATGACCAGCAGTAACAACATGCTGGACACTGACCAACATGACCAGCAGTAACAACATGCTGGACACTGACCAACATGACCAACAGTAACAACATGCTGGACACTGACCAACATGACCAGCAGTAACAACATGCTGGACACTGACCAACATGACCAGCAGTAACAACACACTGGACACTGACCAACATGACCAGCAGTAACAACATGCTGGACACTGACCAACATGACCAGCAGTAACAACATGCTGGACACTGACCAACATGACCATCAGTAACAACATGCTGGACACTGACCATCAGTAACAACATGCTGGACACTGACCCACATGACCAACAGTAATAACATGCTGGACACTGACCAACATGACCAGCAGTAACAACATGCTGGACACTGACCAACAGTAACAACATGCTGGACACTGACCAACATGACCAGCAGTAACAACATGCTGGACACTGACCATCAGTAACAACATGCTGGACACTGACCAACATGACCAGCAGTAACAACATGCTGGACACTGACCATCAGTAACAACATGCTGGACACTGACCAACATGACCAGCAGTAACAACATGCTGGACACTGACCAACATGACCAGCAGTAACAACATGCTGGACACTGACCAACATGACCAGCAGTAACAACATGCTGGACACTGACCAACAGTAACAACATGCTGGACACTGACCAACAGTAACAACATGCTGGACACTGACCAACATGACCAACAGTAACAACATGCTGGACACTGACCAACATTACCATCAGTAACAACATGCTGGACACTGACCAACATGACCAGCAGTAACAACATGCTGGACACTGACCAACATGACCAGCAGTAACAACATGCTGGACACTGACCAACATGACCAGCAGTAACAACATGCTGGACACTGACCAACATGACCATCAGTAACAACATGCTGGACACTGACCAACAGTAACAACATGCTGGACACTGACCAACATGACCAACAGTAACAACATGCTGGACACTGACCAACATGACCAACAGTAACAACATGCTGGACACTGACCAACAGTAACAACATGCTGGACACTGACCAACATGACAAGCAGTAACAACATGCTGGACACTGACCAACAGTAACAACATGCTGGACACTGACCAACATGACCAACAGTAACAACATGCTGGACACTGACCAACATGACCAACAGTAACAACATGCTGGACACTGACCAACAGTAACAACATGCTGGACACTGACCAACATGACCAGCAGTAACAACATGCTGGACACTGACCAACAGTAACAACATGCTGGACACTGACCAACATGACCAGCAGTAACAACATGCTGGACACTGACCAACATGACCATCAGTAACAACATGCTGGACACTGACCAACATGACCATCAGTAACAACATGCTGGACACTGACCAACATGACCATCAGTAACAACATGCTGGACACTGACCAACATGACCAGCAGTAACAACATGCTGGACACTGACCAACATGACCAACAGTAACAACATGCTGGACACTGACCAACATGACCAGCAGTAACAACATGCTGGACACTGACCAACATGACCAACAGTAACAACATGCTGGACACTGACCAACATGACCAGCAGTAACAACATGCTGGACACTGACCAACATGACCAGCAGTAACAACATGCTGGACACTGACCAACAGTAA